TAAGTGACAATATGAAATTCAATATAATACCCCAAAGGCATACAATGAACATGGTTAGAACAGATTCAAGCGATTTATTTTCCAATGAGAACAGTATAACAATTTCAATTGGAACTTTTCACTCAATTCTATTCTTATCCAAATGAAAATAAATTCAACAATTTAGGTATGTATTCAAATCATTATGCAAATAGTTATAAAAGATCTGATTACCATCTATCCATAGTTGAAAATAAACTTTCATTATTTGTAGTGAGTACTCACTGACATGAAGGCAAAGTAGGAGAAACAGACAGCTGCAGTGATTCCATAAAACTGTATTTCAAACTTGGCCATTAAAATATTGTAAGCATAACCTTTGCAAAAAATGACCTTGACATATTAAAAATTTAAAGAAAAGACCGATATGTCTCCCCCGGTTCACCATTATTCAAAGTATCTATAAGAAAAAGAACAGAATTCCTCCAAATCAAATTTCCGAAGTGAAACAACATATAGAGAAACTGTTAAACCAAGGAATTATTCGTAAGATTACCAGTCCATACGCTTCTCTTGTTGTGATTGTCAGAAAGAAGGACAACAGCATAAGACTGTAGATGACAGAGCACTCAATTCAAAGACGTATTTCCGCTCCCGCGTATTGAAGACACTTGGGATAGTCTAAATGGAGCCAAAGATTTCAGTAGTTTAGACCTTATACAAGGATACAATCAAGTAGCAATGAGAGAAGAAGATATTCCTAAGACCGCATTTCGTGTTGGTATTGGTACTCCTCGACCTCAAGGGGTCGGACGTGCCGGTTTGCTATCTGATTATGCCAGGTTACGGTTAATTCTCGCAGGTACGGAGGGGGCAGGGGCACGTCGTGTTAGATATAGGGGTACTCAGACTAGGTGCGCAGTACATGGGTGTGGTGCGAAGTTTGCAGGGGCGACACCTATGTTAACTCATATTTGGGAATCTCATACTAGGGGTGTTGATGATCTAGGGGTATTTCTAAAGTTTCTGTTAGAGTTAGCGAAGTTATTGAGGGTGGCTCCCGAGGGTGCTGATAACGAGACTATGCTAGAGAAGCTCCGCCTGTGGGTTATAAGGCGGATGGGGAAAGTAGAATGGGGATTTTCGGTTAGTGTGCGTGATATCATTACTAGTTTCTCTGCCCATTTGGGAATAGTATCTGTGTATCTGGTGTACCTTTTGTCTACTTTTGGCCGCACCGTAGATGTCGCATTAGATGTAGCAGAGCCTATCCATGGATGATGTCTTGGACCACGTGGTGGACGACAGGAGTCGGGGAGCAGTGTAGGACCACGTGGTGGACCGAGATGACTCGGGGGATGATTCTGATGAGTGATTGTGTCATGAACTGTGTTAATTCTATTAATATTTTATTATGGACATTAATGTTTAATTGATATTGCTATTGTGTGTTTGTATGTATGTATGTGTGATAGGCCCTGCTAGGAGTTAATTTATTTGATTATTTGTACATTATAGATTGTCCTATTGTACTATATATACGGGCTGGGACGCCCTTTGTTCAAAATGGGGAGGAATGTAGTGGACTTGTAGGTACCGGGCACGAATTGCCCTGCTGCCTCTTGTCACGTGCTGCACTGCACACATTGTGTGACGTGTACCCGCATTCCTTCTCTCTTTTCTACTTTGGCTGTTGTCCAGACCAGACACGCTGGAACTTCCAAGTCTTGAGATTATTATATATACATAGGCGACGGTAAGCTAATAAAGTGCAGATTATATCATAGTGTTTTCTCTTGACCGCCATCACAATTTTACCATGTAATTCTATAGAGAAACGCTATATGTGCAATCGGGTGTAACGAAATCGAAGGGTTTAAATACCTGTGTGACGGTGTCTATTTATGAGTAATGTTCAGCTTTAACGGTGTTCAACCCAATACTCATATTACAAGATTTTTCAACTGATATCGTAACAAGAGGCCCAAGGGCCTTAAAGCCCACCGAGTATAAAAAAAAACAACAATCCATAGAGGATCCATAAATTATAAATTGAAAGCTACCAAAAAAAAACAAAAAAAAAACAAACAAAAAACAAAAAACAAAAAAAACAGGTTATACAATATTAATTTTTTTATCCAATCAAATGACATATTACAACCAAATTTTAATTATATTAAAATGACTTGGGCATCGTGTGTCCCACTGTAGGATTTCCTTCTGGAGATTATTGGTTCAACCGACTTGGGAGTTATTGGAGTCTTTTCCACCGATACCATCGCAGATTCGTAACCTTACATTACTGTCCCCTCTGTCGACTAAAGGACATCAAGATGTACGACGTCATCTCCGAAGAAAACACCTTCATACCTCCAAAGAAACTAGTATCAGGAAGGAAATTGTGCTTAACGACAAGGTAGTGCAGAAGTCCTCGTCCCAGAGTGCGTCACAAGGAGCAGGAGAGGGCTAGGGAAGAGAGCTTGACGGAGGACCACAATCCAAGGGATGAGAAGTGCCCTGTTGGAGGATTTAAGAAATTATATAATATTCTTCATTATTATTTAGTATTAACAAAAATTGTAATATTTGTTTTAAGGGGTGAAGAGTGTGACGGTTTTGGTTTTTATTGCACATTTAATTTGTCTTTCTTAGAATATTTAGTGCCTTAAATTACCTTTATACATTTTCCGATAGTTATCCCTGGTGTTAAAAGTCCTGTATTTTTAACTTTGTTTTCACATGTGCTCAAGTTAAATTTACCTCCATATTGGCTGTCATTCCGAACTTATTTTGTTTTCTGACTTTTCAGTGGTTGACAGGTTGTTCTTTGAACATATCAGAAGTCATTTTAGATATTCATATTACTATTTTATAGCTAGTTAGTTAGACTGATTTTCATTGGTCAGAGTTTATATATAAACCATGGCAGCTGCATTTCTAAGTCACTCTAGGCTACAGAACCCAAAGGTTCAAGCTTTCTCTTCTCTCTTAGGGGTTTAATTTCGGACTGTTTGTGCAGTTTTATTTTATTTTTTGTTTAGGACATTTGACTAAATTCTGTAAAATGTAACTAAGTCCTTAGCTGGAGTCACATTGGTTCAAGGATGAATTAGATATCCCTAGGTCTTTATAGTGTTATACTAAAAATAAATTGCCTTGACCCTTGTGTAATAAATAGGGTTATAGGGAAATTTTCAGTCTACTTGCATAGTCTCACTACTATTTTCAGGGCGTTGTATAAAATCTCTCAAGGTGTATGGAAGCTCACTCCCATCTATTTTGATAGATTTTTCTAGGGTATCGCACTCACTTTTCTCCTTTATAATTTTGTTATCAAATTATTTACTTTCTTATTATTTATTCAGTTATTAATTTATTTTTCTACCTCATTTTATTTTTGTTTTACATTTTGAGATTATTTTGGAAACTTATTTATTAATTGTTGTCATCTTCAAACTATTCAGAATTATCACTATAATAAATTAATTGTTACAATTCAAAATTTCTTCTTATTGTTAGGTGTTGATCATAATCTAGGAATTTTAGAACCTGGATTGAATAAAACAGGACCAGTTATTGCACTTTTACATAGTAAGCTTAGTCTGTTCCTTCGTATTACTTTGTAAGTTAAAAGATAATTTTGCCATTCATATATAGTTTGGGACGGATTGAGTGCACTTTCCGGCCATAAATAAACTGGTTCCCGTTACAGTAGAAGAGTATGACAAGAGAGACCTATTGAGTACTTTCCCTACAGTTTATCCATTAACCATGAAAATAGAGATATGAAACATTCAGAGGACTGACGTCAAGAGCTGACATGTATCTGACACGATGCATTTGACGACAAAGATCTAATAGAGACGCTATGAGATAAATTCTTTTTTTCAAAGCTTTAACATCATCACAGGCTCAGTGGGTCAGAAGAAACAAGGGATAGGTCTATCGTTGTAGAGGCCGCTAAGGTCTATAGGACATTGGACGAGCAAGGAATCCTCTCCTTGAAGTGAACGATTACGAAAATTTCAGGAACGATATGATAAACCGCTCACTTTCTCGTATATGGTAAGCCGTTCTTCAACTGGCTCGTGTATCGGTGTACTGCATTTGTTCAACAAGTTCGGCTTTTCAAAAAACCTGAGACATTCATACATGTCACAAAAACAGTATAATGTACCATTTTTCTTACTGTAATAGGAGTAAACCTTTAGAACACCATTTTTATTAGTTGTTCTAGAATATTTTTGTATACTTTTACAACTTTTATTTTTACCATTTTCGGCACCATATCTTATCTGGAGATGACATGGCCACTCCAGCGATATCATGAAAACCATTTCCAAGTATTGTGAGCAGTAAGTAACAACAAACTCAAAGAAACCCATATACAAGTAAATTACTGGTTTCTTCATGTGTCTAACAACAATCTATTTTACCTCGTACCAAGTGAAATAAGTTTAAAAAGACTTATTTTCCTACTGTTATTGATAAGTCGGATTGAAAGTAACCTGATACTCCATCACCTGATGAACATTTTGAATGTTTTAAAAGAAAAGGGCCTCCACTTTCTCCACATCAATATAAGATCATTACTACATAAAACTCAAGAAGTTCAACTTGTAGCTTACAAATCAGAAGCTGTCATTCTATCGATAACAGAGACTTGGCTAGACAGCTCTATATCAAACACGGAAATCCTTATAGATGGTTATACCGTCATCAGAAAAGATCGCAACCGACGTGGTGGTGGAATACGAACTTGCGTAAGGGAAGACCTTGCCTTCACCCCAGTGAGCCTCGAAGGAATCTCAGATAGTGATGAAGTCCTTTTTATTGAACTTCTTCTACCTAAGACAAGGCCTATTATTGTTGGTACTTGCTACAGACCGCCTAACCAATCAAATTTTATTGAAAGATTTGAAAGTTTCTTAGTTCAGTTAAGAAAAGATTATGAATTTATTTTAATGGGCGATTTTAATATTTGTACACTAGATTCTAATGTCCCACTCACTCGAGAATACAATAAACTAGGGCTAATTGTAAAGGGAACCGTTACAGATGTTCCCCAAACGCTCCCCAACTCCCTTTTGGTGCCTTATGTTTTGAAAGGAAAACTCTGCTCAGTTGGCGCGTTTACATGTATATTTATTTTACCGGAACATGTGCACATAACATAACATACAAAACCAATACGAACACGAGACACACAATTACGGGTAACACTAATTAACAATATTGAGTATTTTTGACCATAGACTGAGTTACAGGATATTACATCTCTCCCTTTCTTAGATTTGAAACCTTATTCTTCAAACAGATATTTTCAATTTTAACATGGTTATAAATGTCTGACTAGAGTTTCTTTTCATATTCTTTTCATATTCCAATAATACTTAATTAAATCAAATGACTAGATCTACGAGCGTTCAATAATACATATTAAACAAATACTGGTTATTCTGTGATACATAATAAACATTTAAAAATTGACATATAGACAAAATAAACAAACAAACAAATATTGAATACTTTAGGGGATTATTATGCCCCTCACTGATTATTCATATACGCGTCACATAATCTTGTAAGTATGCAGGCTGCTTTCTTTGTCTTGTGGGTCGCGGTGTTTGTGGTTCATCGTCTTCAACCTCTGGGTTTGTCGAATGATTTCTCTGCACTGGGGCATCTATAATCTCTTCTTCATCAGCCGCTTCTGTCGTCAGGGGTCGATGTCTTGTTTTCTTAAAGAATGATGTGTTTCGTGTTACGTTTCTCTCACTCTGTTTAGTAGTTATCATGTTTCCTTTTTTGCTAATCACGATGTGAGGATTAGGATCATACGCAGGTGTGGTCTTGTTTTCTTTGACTTCATTTCTTAATAGTACATGGTCGCCAATCCGAATATCACTATGTCTTGTTTTCATTCTTACGTCCGCATCGGCTTTCATCATTGTTTTTGAGATTTCATCATTCTGACGCAGGAGTTCATTATTCTTGGTTTGTTTCCTTGGGATGGATGGAAGCTTTGTCTTTGCCTCTCTATTAAACAGTAGTTTGAAAGGGCTTATTCCTGTAGAGCTGTGTGGGGTTGTTCTGTACTGTCTGAGGAACTGGAACATTGACTGTTTCCAGTTTCTTCTCTCTATCTCAGCTGCTTTGATGTTCTTCATTAGTGGTTTGTTAAATGCTTCTGCTTGTGCATTTGCTCGAGGCCATCTTGGAGTAATTTTTCTATGAGTGAATCCTGTATTGTTAGCGTATTCTCTAAATTGATGTGAGTTGAACGGACTTCCGTTGTCTGTCTTGATGACTTTTGGAATTCCAAAGGTAGACAGTACCTTGTCCAACATGGGTATCACACTGTGGGCTGATACAGATTTTGCTATTTCTACCACAGGGTATCTTGAGTATTCATCAATAATGACGAATAGGTAATCGCCAGATGGTAGTGGTCCGCAGAAATCAGCACTGAGAGCACTCCAGGGTTCTGGAGGTAATTCTGACATTTTTAGTGGTTCCATTTGTCTTGACTGGGTTATTGCTTGGCAAGCTAAGCAGTCTTTGATCAAGTTTTCTACTCTATCATTTATTCCTGGAAACCAGACCTTGGATCTAAGGAACGCCTTGGTTTTCGCAAGACCTTGGTGTCCCTCGTGAGCAATTTTAATAGCTTGGTCTCTCAACGATTTTGGCATAATTAATCTTTTGTCTCGAAGCAAGACAGTGTCACAGTGTACAACAAGTATGCTCCTATATGCCTGAAGTTCCTCCATGTCTATTGTATGGTCATCCAACTTCTTCATTTCATACCATCGTCCATTACGTGTATACTCTATAGCTTTCTGTATTGTTCGATCTCGTTCACTCGCATCCTTCACTTGACTTAGTGACATAGCATTCGGCACTGATTGTGTGGCTATGAAACTAACATACTGTTCCCCCACTTTCTCTTCATGTGAGCGTCCTTGTTTTTCCTGAATTGGATGCCGCGACATGTAATCAGCAGGGTTATTGCATCCTGGTTCATATTTGATAGTAAGTTTGTATGGTTGGAGACGTAAACCCCATCTCTCTATTCTCAAGGGTGGTCTCGGCTTCTGCCATATCTTCTCCAGTGGTTTATGGTCTGTAATAATGTTTACGTTGTTAGCGCCACGGATGTATATGTCAAAGTGTTCACAGGCCCATACTATTGCCAACGCTTCACGCTCAGTCTGGCTGTATCTTGATTCCGTATCAGTTAAGGCTCTGCTCGCATATGCAATGGATTTCTGTTTCTGAGTCATGATAGCTCCTAGTCCAATAGGGCTAGCATCAACATGTACATTGATTTCACTTGATGGGTCGAAATAAGTCATTACAGTTTCTCTCGACAGTTCTTCCTTCAACTTGTCAAAGGCGTTCTGCTGCTTGCAGTCCCATTTCCAGTCTGATGATTGACGAGTAAGACTGCGGAGCGGTTCAGTAATAGTAGCATAGTGTGGTATGAAACGAGATGAGTAGTTCGTCATCCCTAAGAAGCTGCGAAACTCTGCTACATTTGTCGGGGGTATTGATTCCTTCACTGCTTTCACCTTTCTAGGATCCGGAGATATTCCATCTTTGGAAAATACAATACCGAAGAATGTGATTTTGTCCTTGTTGAGTTCACACTTGTTACTGTTGACTGTAAGTCCACTTTTCTGAAGTGCCTTTAGTGTTGCCTCAAGTGCACTGTCATGTTCCTGTTGGGTTTTACCGTACACTATGATGTCGTCAGATATGTTCTTTGCGTTTCTAACGTTTTGTATAATACCTCTTATTGTTTCTTGAAAAATCTCTGAGGCTGACGAGATACCAAAATTCAGCCTTTTGTATCTGAACAGTCCTAAGTGCGTGCTAAATGTTGTGATATATCTACACTGTTCTTCAAGTTCCAACTGGTGGTATCCAGATTTAAGGTCAAGTTTGCTGAAGATTGCTGCGCCATTAAGGTCATGGATAAGTTCTTCAACTGTCGGTAGCACATGTCTTTCTCTTACTATGGCTTTGTTCGCTTCACGCATGTCGATGCAGAGTCGAATTTCATTGGGATCTTTTTTAGGTGGTGTAACTATTGGCGAAACCCATGGCGTTGGGGTGTTTCCAACTTTCTCTATGATGTCTTGTTCAAGTAGGGCTTGAATTTCTTTCTCAACTTTGGGTCTCAGATGAAAAGGAGTCCTGCTTCTCTGAGCAATGAATTTTACATCCAAGTTAATGTGGAGCTTGACTGGCTTTCCATTATACCTTCCAATCTTATTTTTGAATACTTCTGGGTTTCTCACTTCTAACTTTGGCTGTGTGATCTGACTAACAACATGGACAAGTTCCAACTGAGATGCTGCTGTATATCCAAGCAAAGCACCGTGACTTCCTTGAACAACATGAAACTGGAAAATTCCAAATTTGTTTCTTGTTTCCACCTCCAGCTCACAATTTCCGAGAACTTCAAGTTGGCTTCCTCCACCATATGGCAGTAGTTTTGTTTTGTCCCTTTTTAACTTGGGGCTACCTAGATACTTATATGTTGTTTCATCCAACACGTTCTCTGTCGCACCAGTATCAATCATTAGTTTGCAGTATCTCTTGTTGATCTTTAGTGAGGTAATAGGAGTCTTGCGTACTGACCTTACTTGTTCTTGTATACTGTATGTGTATTCTTCATCTGAGCTGGGTTCATCTGTGCAATGTTTATGTTCCTCGAAATCCTGGACCTCATACACTTGCCTTTCTGGATTTGAATTCTTGAAGTGTCGACTGCGACATACTTTTGCGAAGTGGTTTAGCTTGTGACATGAATACACTTTTTTCCTTTGGCAGGGCAAGGTTTCTGTTTGTGCGGAAATTCGCCACCACAGTTCCTGCACATGACTGGGTGATTGTGTGTTTTCTGTTGTCTCTCAGATGTAGACCATTTCTTTTTGTAGCCAGTTTCACGATTACTTGTTGAGACCCTGTGTTCTGTTTTTGCTTTCACTTTATTTACACTTTCCCTCTCCATTTCTGTTGCTTGAGAGTCAGTAAGTTCGAGTGTTCTACCCAGAGTTAGTATGTCATCTAATGATTTATCTGGTTCTCTCAGAGCTCTACGACGGAGGCGATTCGAACGGCAATTTTGGATAACTTGGGATAAAATTTCCTTATCAACATTCTGGAATTCGCAAGTTTTTACGAGCTTTCTGAGTTCGGTTATAAATTCATCTAGAGACTGACCTTCGTTCTGTTTGTATGTCCTGAACTTGTAGATTTCCATCTGAGTGTTTTTCTTTGGTTCAAAATACTTCTTTAGGATACCCTTCGTAGCTTCTTAAGTAGGTTCTGAGTTTTTCTTTTCAGCTTCATAAATATCATATACTGTTTCTCCGGCATTATGAAGAAGTAGGGCTCGTTTTCTCTCCCCGTTGTCTATTTTCATTCCGACAAAGAGATTTTCAAGTCGGGAAACCCATCTCTCCCATCTCGGACCAGCATTACTTTTGTCACTTGCGTAATCGAAGGAAGGGAAATTCGGAAGCTGAATTGACATGTCGATCACTTTGTCCTCGTCGCCTATGTTATGTTTTGAAAGGAAAACTCTGCTCAGTTGGCGCGTTTACATGTATATTTATTTTTCCGGAACATGTGCACATAACATAACATAACATACAAAACCAATACGAACACGAGACACACAATTACGGGTAACACTAATTAACAATATTGAGTATTTTTGACCATAGACTGAGTTACAGGATATTACACCTTATTCCCTTTAAACTTCATTAATTAAGACAAACTCTATGCATTTTAGAATTTAACATTTTCCCCGAAGTTAAACAAGTATATTACAAATTTTAGCATTGCACGCGCGCGCACAAAAAGTAGAAACAAGTATATTGGTCATTTGAGCATTTGCACGCGCGCACTCGTGCATGCATGTGCGTAATGACTATATCATTTTGACAACACTATTAATATATTTTAATATGCTAAATATCAAAGCATTTAATAAAAAAATATTAAAAACTTCGCTAAATCAAGTGTATTTGTAATTTTCGCATTGCACGCGCGCGTACGTGCATGATGACCATCCTTTCCTGTAGGAATCTGTTTTGGTTTTACTGCCTCTTACGGACCTGGTAATAATTATGCCTTTATTTCCGTCCACTGGCCGGACCTCCTGATCTCTGGATACAGTGACCTCCTTTTCCAAATTGAGTGTTTGATCCGACTGCACCGAGGCCCTCCTCTTCCTGGCAGCTTCCTCTCGGAATCTATTCCTGGCTGTTGACACAGGGGGCAGGGACATTAAACTCTCTCTCGGGTTAAGCTATTTAATGTTCCTTACCGTGGCATAAGACGGCTCCACATTACTTTCGTGTTTTAATCCTCCATGGCGTTTCACCTGTCCTTCACGCGTGCTTGCATATCTGAAATTTTCCCAAGAACACTTGAAGATATCTATCTGAGGCTCATGGACCTCTGTCCAATGAATCCTACACGCTTTATAGTTTCCTATCCAGGCATCACACCTTTCCACATAACACACCGTCCCTCCTTCCTTCCAAATAGGTCTTATATCTTGATCTAACTCCTCCATCTCCCTTTAAGTAACAAAATTATCTAGAATAGCCATAAGGAGAAAATGTCTGAAAAACAGTTGTACAACATGGATTAGATTTTATTTTCAAACAAATCAATTATGCCAAGGTAATACCAGAGTATAGGAATAGAGCGCCAACAGCCCAGCTGTTTTTAAAAGACTCCAACTCTTTTATATTACCTTGAAATAACAGATAAAAACAAATTTCAAAATGTTAATTTCAGAAATTTGAAATTACAAATTATTACGGATAATATTTTTAATAAATATGCAACTTTCAAATAACAGATAATTTTGAAAAATTCACTTATCTGAAATAAATTTAAATAAAGTTATGGTGAGTAGATCTCTCTGGGTTAAATTGTTCTCCCAGCTCTTGTTTTTACAGGAGATCTTTGATCAGGTTTCACCAAAGGACTATTTGGAAGTGGTTCTGCTGTTTCGCTCAAGGTTCCATCAGAAATTGGTTTACATGATCTTCAACCAATTGACTGGAAGTTGTCTCCCTTGGAATGGTTTCAAATGATCCACATGGACAGTTATTGGGGTACTCTCAGAGTTTAACTGGATTTCACAAGTAACATCTGAAATTTTCTGAAGAATGAGGTATGGACCCGTCCAACCCTGACAGAATTTATTTGACATTGCTGGTAAATACCATTTCCAAACCCATTTACCTGGTTCAAATTCTCTAGGTTTTAACCCTTTATCATAATAATGTGTCTGTCTCCGTGCAGCGAAACCTAAATTCTGAAATGCAAACGCATTGTTCATTGACACTTCTAACCATTTTACATACATTGAAGGACACAATTTCCCTGGATTTCCTGGTGGTATCCCGACCATGATATCTAAAGGGCATAAAATTTCCCGAACCACTATAAGTAAATTTGGAGTACACTTTGTACTTATATGACCGTTCACGGTAGCTCAGTCGGTAGAGCGCTCGCTCCGTGATCGGGAGGTCATGAGTTCGAATCTCGGCCGCGACAGACCTAAGTCGATAAAAAATAGGTAGCAACTGTTCCTTCGCCATGCACTCGGCACTTTGAAGTGAAAGTTGCGGGTCCTTCGGATGAGACCTTAAAAACCGAGGCCCCGTGTCACGGCAGGCGTTGGCACGATAAAGCTCCCTCACTGCTCAATGGCCCTGAGTGCCGAGTAAAAGTCAAAATTTGAAGCCCTTCACCGGTATATGGTGACGTCTCTCTATGAGTGAAAAATTCTTGAATGGGACGTAAAACAACATACAATCAATCAATCATGTACTTATATGAGGGGTTGCACGATAGGCCATCATGAGGTAAGGTAAATGGTCATCCCAGTCATCTTTTATTCTCATTGACAAAGGCAGACAGCACGGCAATCAGAGTTCTATTTTAACGCTCAACAAGGCCATCAGATTGTGCTCTATATGGAGTGGTTCTAGTTTTCTCAATGTCTAAAAGTTTACAAAGTTCAGAAATTATTCACTCTCGAATTCTCTACCCTGATCAGTATGAACACCAAAACGTGAAATAAATTCAGTAGCAAGTTTGTCAGCAATTGTAAGGCCAGTATGATCAGCTACAGCGTATGCTTCTTTCCATTTTGAAAAAAAGTCACCTACAACAAGGATATACTCATTTTCATTACTGGTTGTAGGTAAACCACCTAAAATACCTATTGCAATTCTGTCTAATGGTTTTGTAGATTGAAGGAGAGAAGATTGAAGTGGAGATCTTCCACACCCTGGACCTGGTTTTCTACGTGCACAAAGATCACATGATTGATACCATAATTTAACATCATTTGACAAGCCAGGCCAATTGAACCTTCTCTTGACAGACTCGTAGGTTTTATCTCTCCCTAAATGACCTGAAATTCTAGAATTATGTAAGAATTCCAAAATCTTCTCTCTAATAATTTGAGGGGCAACAATCTGAAAAATAGTATGACCTTGTGGATCTTTTTCACTCACTCTGTATATAATTTCATCAGAACCAATTTCAAAATCTTCCCACATTTGACATAAAGTTCGAATTTCATGGGAAAATGAACCAATAGTTCGCCTGTTTGGTTTACTGACTTGTTCAGTTTTGACCGATGTTTTTGCCTTCATATTGCCATTCTCTTATTTGAGCAGGACCCCAACTTTCAACCCAATTTGATACTTCAGGAGTATTGTCATCGGCTTGGCAGGGCTCGACATTTACTTTTTTCCCTACTTGTCCATTCGGACAAGTGACCAAGACTTTTACTTGTCCGAAATTCAACTTCACTTGTCCGAAAATTGTTCAATAAAGATACAGTGCTGTCAACTTAAAAACTAAAATAAAGTCCATTTCATGTGATTGATTCGTGATGTTATTGATAAATACACCAAAACATTTATCTAGACTTTCTATCATGACAAAAACAAAAATACTGTCAACATCAAACAGAATCTAAACTTCGTAACTCGACGTACATTTCATGCCTTTGCAGTAGTATGCAATTAGTGAACTTCGATCCCGATCGACTGTGAACTCAATTACACAGCGATCCATATCGGGATCGAAGTTCGTTTATTATGTACTGCTTCTGTCTTTACCGATGAACTTTCAATAGTCATTCTTTTTATTATTTGAAGACTTCTTTACATTAAAATGCACTTGTCCAATCGGACAAGTGCCCAGCAATATTCACTTGTCCGTAATTTTTTTTCACTGGTACCAGACAAGCGTTAATGTCGAGCCCTGCTTGGACAGGATATATTCCCTGATCAGAATACTTAGATTCTTCTTTAAGGAATTCCCCTTTTCCAGCCTCAACCTCCGAAGTCAAATTTTCACTACATAAAAAAGATTTTTTGAAATTTTGAATCACAATCGAGTCACATAAACTAAATGAAAAATTTGACATTCCTAGTATTGGGATAGATTCCCCTTTAGCACACAACAGTGTTTTATTTACACTTTTTAGCTGCATAGGTTTTATCTTCCCAGATAACATGTTAAATTTGCTTTTCCCGCGCACCCTCCGGCCACGTTTGACAATCGTGTCGAGACGGTGAAAGCGCCGAGCCGACGTAGATCAGCTCCAAACGACATTCGGTAATTTCATAGAAATGCATTTATGGAGCTGATTTAGCGACCAAAACGAAACAAACAAATAACATTTATAAGAAACCATACAAAACAAATCTTTAAAGTATAGATAAATAAATATATAAAAATAAAACACGGAATAAACTTTTCTCATGAATAATTATAAAAATGGGCGGAGCTAAGTCACGTGATATTCTTGAGCTCTACCACATTGAAGTCCGTAAGCTAGCTGCGTAATGTACAAATTAAAAATTATATTTAATTCTAATCTTTAACTGAAAAACAAATTTGATGCGGAAGAAATAAATTTTGACATTTGTAACTTGTACCACGTGCCGTTCACTGTGTGGTCTTTTCCTTAATAAATATTCCAAAATGTTTAATGAATTTAGTTTTGGGGGTTATTTTTTTTTCGAAATTTCAAACATGTTGATGAGGACTGGCCGATCATCTGTGGGGTATGAAATACCTATAATCCATATTTTCAATGTTCCTAAGAATGAAGTCGAAAGACAAATTTAATCTGAATGCCCGGTCCTCTGATTGTCAAGATTTCTGATTAATTTAAGTTTTCAGTTGTAACTTTTTGAATAGGAACATTTACTGACTTTTGAACAGAACCTTGCTCGCCTTTTTCCATGATGAAATTTCTGTTGTCACCAGTTGTTCGTCTCCAGTGTATGGTGTAGGATCTCCATTCACTTCCCATGGAAACTGAAGTTCGAATCCCCTTCGCCATATTGGTGACGGAGTCTTCGATGAATATATGGCTTGCGCCTGTAATCTGTTGCCTCTCGCCATGTTCTACATCTAAGTGCAAGTCTTGCTTCGACTGGGACAACATTGAGGGAGGAGGTAGAGGGTTGCGAAAAGTCCGGCTTATCGCAGGAAGAGGAGGTTAAAGGTTGTGTGGCGGTCTCACTTCAGTTTGTCAATGCTGGCGCTTGTGCAATAACATTTTTGTTTATTTCGGGAAAAAATATCCGCAAAGTTTGCATACATTACCTTTCCCCTTTGTTGATATCCCCATAGCATAAGTTAAAGATTAAAATTACAAAGAATTATATTTAATCAAAATTAAACCACGATTTAAATCATGAATATTATTCACAGATGTGTTTTGGATTTGCCCTTGAGAGCTGCTGGCATCT